TTGCATAACTTTAAGATTCGATAGAACTTTTAAAATTAATGCATAAAGTCTATATAAACATGGGTCGAAAAATGCGTGGCTTCCGAAATACAGGATGTTTAAATTTACTTTTTAAAATAGTTTTTTTTTTAATATTTCGAACAATATTTGATGTATAACAGTGAAAATGGTATACAAGGGTTTTTTGGTACGACAAAACGAACCATGGGCATAGTTTTACTGTGGCCGCTAGAGGGCGCTCTCTACTGTACCTGTAGTGTATTAAAATGAACGAAAATTTTTTCTTAGTGCAATTTTTTGCTTTTTCAATAAAAAAACTGATTCTTTGCACTTTTCAACATAAAAAAGCTCTCTTATGAATTTTCGTTATAGTTAGCCGTTTTTGAGATATTTCGATTTTTAAGGTTCGATGCATTTTTAATTATTTATGATAAAATAACTTTTTCAGCATGAATTTAGTGTGAACGTGTGGATTGGTATCTACCGTAATCGACTATTTGGACTATTTGGACCTTTTGCCTGCAAGGTTAAATGCTGCGACCTTCTTGGAATTTTTAAAGGCTGAACATGCAAATATGTGGGATGATGTTATGTTAGATTTAAGAAGATTGGCCTGGTTCCAGCTTGATGGTTGTCCAGCTCATTCTTCAAGAATAGTTAGAAATTGGCTGGACGAAAATTATCCAGAAAGATGGATCGGCCGTGGAGGACCAGTCGCCTGGCCTCCACGATCCCCTGACCTAAATCCATTAGATTTCTTTGTGTGGGGATTTCTAAAAGAAAAAGTGTACCAGACTCCCGTAACCACAAGAGATATGCTAATAGACAGAATCAGGAATGCATGTGATGAAATAAGGCCTTATGTGAATAATGATATACCACGTTCGATCATTCGTAGATGTGAGTTGTGTATTGAACAATTGGGTTTACATTTCGAGCAACTATTTTACATATTGTATGTGAGTCCTAACTATCCAATAGCATTTTAGTTGTAAATAATTAATTTAATTTGTTAAAAATAATATTGGAAAATTAAACAAATTAATATCCTGTTTTTTTGTGTTTATTTGGAGTTAAGAATTATTGCTGTGTTTAAAAACACAATCTAAACGATCATCTTAATTACTTGTAATGCCCAAATCAAAAATTTAGAAAAAAATATTATAATAAATAATTAAAAATGCATCGAACCTTAAAAATCGAAATATTTCAAAAACGGCTAACTATAACGAAAATTCACAAGAGAGCTTTTTTATGTTGAAAAGTGCGAAGAATCAGTTTTTTTATTCAAAAAGCAAAAAAGTGCACTAAGAAAAATTTTTCGGTCATTTTAATACACTACAGGTACAGTAGAGAGCGCCCTCTAGCGGCTACAGTAAAACTATTTCCATGGTTCGTTTTGTCGTACCAAAAAACCCTTGTATACCAATTTTCACTGTTATACATCAAATATTGTTCGAAATATTTAAAAAAAACTATTTTAAAAAGTAAATTTAAACACCCTGTATTTCGGAAGCCACGCATTTTTCGACCCATGTTTATATAGACTTCATGCATTAATTTTAAAAGTTCTATCGAATCTTAAAGTTACGCAACAATAAACTGAAACACCTTGTATGAAAGGAAAGAATGTCTACGCACTTATTGTATGGGCCTGTTCGACTGACCTGATCCGTTCTCTATTGTACATGTTCGTAACTAATTATTGGTGTAATGGTCAACTTACTTGACATTTTTTCTGCTACAATTCAATGAAGGTACGTAGGCTTTAGAGAGATATCAATGAGCGCATAGGCGCCAAACCCTGCCATGAACAACAAGTGATAAAATGGTCAGGTTTTTCTGTTATGTTTTTGTGGTGACTGCGTGTATTGTTTGGTGATAAAGAAGCATTCAGTTTTCGTACGTTTTTTGATGCCTTTTTGATGCTTCTTGGTGGTGGGGCTTAAGAAGAGACTTTTCTTCTTGTAACTTACAGTATATTCAGATAAGAGATAGACCGGACATAAACAAGACCACGTGATCATCGAACGCTGTAACATTCGGCAGGGACGTATTAAGAGTCACGCAGTACATATTTTAGATAGTAGATGCTGCTTTGCGTAACTTTGTAGTAAATTAGCACAATTCGATGTGTATACGATTGGTGATGGATATAGGATCATGTGGGGGTGGGGTAAGAAATATATAATGATGTAAATATACATAAGGGTTTCAAAATTTTCGCTTCGATTTCCAGCTTCGGATGCCGCCTGATGTTTGGTGAAATACAGTCGAATATAATCTCAAAATGGCGTTTAAATTAGCCTAAATTAAAAATAATCGTATATCTCTTAAAATTGCTTTTAGAATATTGATTAGTATATTTTTTGATTTCTAGGTAAATATGTAACCATATTAAAACGTTCAAAACGTAAAAAAATGTGCATGGTTGAACATTGTCAGAAAGTAGATTCTTGAATAGGTTTTGCCAAAATGGGTTCAAAAATGTTAGTAATTAATTGAAAAATACAGTAGCTTTATAATTACTTATAACTTACCGAATTTGATGAACGACATCTTTTATTGGAAAGATGAGCTTGATGAGCTTTCATCATCGCTACTGCCTGAAGCACCAACGTCAATAATGAATGGCTCGACTTGTTCCTCTAAAACATTGTCCAGTTCCCACATTCTCTTTTCAACTTTGTCTTTCACGTGCTTAATACAGTTTTCCCATTTTTGCGCTGTTATTAATTCTAGTGCTTCTTTGAAAAGTCCTTTGAGGTCACAAAATTTAAAAGTTGTATTGTGCTTAGCTATATAATTTTTAACCTCTGCCCATATGAGCTCAATGGGATTGAGCTCGCAATGGTATGGAGGTAAATGGAGCACAGTTTTATTTTGACTTGCTGCCATTTCGTCAATGGCGTATTTTTGATATTCCGCCTTGTGATCCTTGACAATTCTTAATAATTGTACTTTTAGCATTGCTTCTTCAAAGTTGATATTTTTCGAGCGGAGCCAATTTTGAACATCAACTTTCCTTGAAGCCGTTGTTGGGACCTTCTCCATTCTTCGAGAATGATAAGGCGCATTATCCAACACAATTACTGCGTTTTCCTCTAAGTTCGGTAATATTTTTGAAAACCACTGTTCAAACGATTCGCCATTCATTTCCTCGTGGTAATCTCCAGTTTTCTTAGACTCAAAGCACCACAGACCGTCAACAACAAATCCATCCTCACTGCCAATATGGCAGATAATGAGCCTTTTCCCTTTACCTGGAAATCGAAGTACTAACTGGTGTAGATTTATTTCAATAAGCGAACCTTTTTCAAATGTTTTCATCACATTCAGCGAAAAAACATTGAGACATGAGTATCAGATTGCTATAATTGGGATTATTTAGTCATATTGAAAGAAAGAATATTGAACGTCGTATGATTACTCAGCGCTTCACAATTTAATTTAAAGTTATAAACCTTTAAAAAATGAATGATCAGGAACCTGAAATACGCGCAAATATTAATATTAACAAATTATAACTTTATAAAGCTTAAAGTATGAATTAAAATGATTAGAAATATTAGGAACGGTACACAATATAAAACTTAGTAACTTTTTTTAAGTTTATAATATTCGACATATTTTAAGATTATATTAAAAAATTATTGAAATATCGAAAACACATAAAAACATGGCTTAAAAAAGTTCTAACAAATGAAAATGACAATAAAACATCCACGCATTTTATCGAAAGTTATAAAAGTTTTGTTACTTGTAATATGTTTTATCTGCCCCCTGGAATTAATGTTTAGAACCTTGTTCCCAAGGTTTGAAAAACATCCGATTGTTGTCTATTACTCGTATTTACCTGCTGGATTTTTTAATCCGGTGGACAGTCCATCTAGAAAGGCCCTCCTGGATGAAGTTACAGAATCATCAACCCGTACTTTACTTGTAGTGTGTCCTGCGTTTACCCACGTTTCATCAAGGTAATAAATCTTCCTGTTTTGATTTCTATATTTCCCAATTTTTGTTAAATAATCCCTCCTCCATAGCACAATTTCTTCTCTATCCAGTAGTAAACTATTACGACCCCGTTTTTTCCATTTGAAATTTAAATGCTTCAGTAACGCAGGGAAAGTTGATCGTTTGAAATTTGGCAACGTTGTATCTCCATTTACCTCCTGCAGTACTTTATCTATAGTAGGTATTTCATTCCTAAAGAAGAATTCATGCACTTTCCTCCTAATCGCATGCTTATCAGCTTCATCCAATGATTTAACAATACTTTTGCGATGTTTACTGGTCATTGGCTCAGAAAAGGTGTGATTTTTTTTGTATTGTCTTAACACATTAAACACTGATGCGCGACACACCCCAACTTTGTGAGAAACCTTCACAACAATTTCTTTGATGGTTGATGCCTCATTCTCCTCGCGCTCGATCTTATATATATTCAAAATGACCTCTTTCATTTCTGCACTCAGGTGTCTTTTTTTAGAGCGTTTCCTAGGTGGACTACAGGAGTTTACAACTTCATCGGCAGTATCTGTACTACTGGGCATTTTGCGCAAGCAGTTGATAACAATAACAATCAATAACAAGGTATAACAATAACAACGACAAACTCAACAACTTAATAAGATAACAAACGGAAACGTCCAAAGAAATATCAAATTGCAATGATGCACACGACATACGTAACACGTCTGAACCTGAATGTGACTCTGCCTTGATACGACTGCTCTGCCGCTCGGCATAGGCATTTATTTGCGAATTGACCAATGAGGACTCCTGTTTTACGTCGAGACGGCGGCGTTAGCGTGAAAATCACCCGAACCTTTTGTTTACATCCGGTCTATCTCTTATCTGAATATACTGTAGTTGCACTATTCTATTTTTAAAAAGCGTTTATTGTGCATACATATGACATCTTCTTGGATGACTAAGTTTATATTGGCTATGTGGAAAAATAGCAAGTCAGTTTTAGCATCTGTGATACGGTGTTTCAGGCGTAGCCCAATCATGGGCCCAACAATATCTGAACAACAGGCCGTTCCCTACGTACAGCCTGGAAAATATGCCGGAAACAACGTTTTCGTGCAGGGACAAGATCTTAGGAGGCTACTACGCAGATCCGGACACGCAATGTCAGATGTTCCATATTTGTGTCAAGGTCGCTGGTGTTGGGGTAAGTTTTACTCTTATAAATAAACAGAATACTCTGTCCATCATCACGAAATCTTTTCTTCTTTTATTCTTTTCTTCAAATTATGACTGAATTATATGTAATTTCTTAATATTCAATAAGCTTGGTGATGTTTCAATGACAAGATGTCATCTCATACTTTGACAGTATTTTGTTTTCAACATTTCATAGCTACTGGTTGCTAAAATTTGTTGATTGGAACTTTAAGCTCATTCGTTGTATTTACCGGACTGTTACCCTATAGGTGGAGAATAACGGGCTGTTGATTTGACAACCTTGGTGAAACCCACCCTAAAAAAGGTTTCCGTTGGCAAAAAGTGAAATATCCAAATTTAAAATTTCCTCGCGATTGCAATATCAGTGGCTCACGCATTTTGTTCGTATAACCGATTTTTTACAATTTTTTCTGAAGTAGCTTTTTGGTGCTTCAGGAATGACTGTACCTTAAAAACTACCTAGTCTGCAATATGACATTTTATATATTTTTTTTTGACGTTTTATAGTTTTTTTACATAATACCCGTGTCGATATTCTCGGCATAAGTAGCTAGGAAACCGTTAACAGGCATGCGTTTGTAATGATGACATAACCTGAGAGTGAATATATTGCAAATTAATGAAATAAAATTAATTTTATATGCCATTAATTACAAACCACAGTGAAGTAAAATTGAAGAACCACACCTGACGCTTGATTTCCAGTAACTCCTTAGCTAAATTTCGAACATTAATTCAAAAAGTAATCCTCCACAGTATGTCGTGCAACAATATTCCTATTTGTTTCTCATAAGGTGACTTATTCCACCTATCGGCATCGTTCCAAAAATTCCTCGCGGCTTATTCATATTTTTCACCTCCATAACCTTTCGCAACTTGTTTGTTCACGTTGACCCTGACCAGTAATTTTTTATAGTCATAAAGTTGACGAGGATGGGCACAGCCGTAACATTTGTCGTAACTTTCATCTGTGTATACAACTGTCATTTACATTGAATTGATGCGTGTTCGTTTGATTAGCATTGTCGTCTGAGAATTTCGTTGGAAATGGTAAGGTTAGTTGTATAACGGAGAAGAAGACCAAGCCATTTAGTGCGCATGGACGACATACGAGGGTTGTCCCAAAAATACGGTTCTTCAGGCACAAGGAATTTTTTATTTGATAAATCGGATTCACCATTGGGAACGTTGTTCTTTAAGTGTTTGTATACGTCTATTCATCGACAAAATGAGGTGATCGATGTCTGGTTGTGGCACCTCATTCCAAGCAACTCGAACTTCGTGGGAGTAGACAGTCTCCTTCCCATCATATCCCACACATGTTATTCAAAAGAAAACCATTTTATTTGAAAACAGACGTGCTTCCTGTGTTGAGCTATTAAAAAAAATTCAGAATAATGACTGTACATTCATTGTATGTCTATAACTGTGCCGTATATGTTAAAGAAAGAAGAACTATAACCTGCAAAGCGGATCTGCTGCTACCCAGCATTCACGGCTTTCATTCCAACGATCCACTATAGCTCACAGGTTGTCGTTGACTTCAAAAAGTCCCACGATTATGTATAACAAATTACCAGAATGTATAAAGAGTATCCAATCGGTAACACTTTTAAAAAAAAAAGCTCAGGGTGTTTCTTGTATACAATTATATATGTTAATTAAATGATTACTTGAGTATTTGATGCTTATTAGATTTTTCTTCTAGCTCTGCTCTGATTTCTTCATAAAAACTAAGAGGTAACATTTAAGCAAAGGCAAACAGAAACAAATATATGTTATTGACATTATTACCACAGCATGCTTAGATATGTTGAGAAAGAAGAAGAAGAAGAAATTATTTTTGCTGGGTGTTACTCAGTATATGTCAATGAACGTTAGAACATATACTAAGTGTAATATAAATCCGAACACCCAGTTTAAATGGTTTTATTTTAATAAAATTTTGTGTAAGTACTTAATGAAGCATAATAAGTAAATGATAAAAATTTCAAAATGATTGCACTGCTTTAAAGCCCTTTGACCTTTAATAACGTGTGGATGCACCCTGATGTGCCACGCATTCTCCAACGCGCCTAGGCATGCTTCTGATCAGGTGGTCAATGTCCTCCTGTGGTATCTCATTCCAGGCAACCACCAACTCCTCTCGAAGTGCTTCTAGAGTCTGAGGAGGACGTTGCAAATTGAGCAATCTCCTACCCATCATCTCCCACACGTGCTCAATTGGGGATAAGTAGGGAGATCTTGGTGGCCATGGTAACAATGTGACATCGTTATGTTGAAAGAAGTCTATTGTGACTCTTGCAACATGTGGTCGGACATTATCTTGTTGGAAAGTTGGATCTGCCAGGGTGTCAAGATAGGGTAAAAGATGGGGTTCTAGAACTTCGTGGATATAACGCTGCGCGTTCATGTTACCTCTGATGAAGATTAAAGGTGACCTGGAACCATAAGCTATAGCACCCCAAACCATAACTCCAACAGTGTGATGAACATGTGTTTCAACAAAAAACTGTGGATTCCTCCTTTCACCACGTCGCCTTCTAACCCTGGCACGACCATCGTGCATGCCTAAACAAAATCGAGACTCGTCACTAAAGACAATACTGTTCCATTCCTGATCCCAGAGTGACCGTTGTCTGCACCACTCAAGGCGATTACGTCGGTGTTCTCGAGTTAAAGGGAGGACCCAGTGTGGCCGGTATGAAAACAATCCAAAACTTCACATTCGCATGCCAAAAGGTCTTCCGTGTTCTGCAAACCATTCATTCGCAATGGACCTGGTAGTAGAGAAACGGTCCCTTAAGGCCAATAATCTTTGGCGGCGATCTTCACGGTCTGTTCTACGGCGGCGTCCAGTGCCCCTTGCTCTTTGCGTACGGCCTTCTCGAAGCCATGCCTGACAACACCTAACCACAGTGTCTACACTTATTTGCACTCTAACTGCAATTGCCCGAAAAGAAAGTCCAGCTTCCCGAAGTCCCACTATACGGCCCCTATCAAACTCACTAAGTTGACGAAACCGTACAGGTCTCCGTACTCTAGGCATCGTAACCGATCGTAAAGGATGTCAAGAACCAAAATCCACCAACGTTGATTCTTTACTACGGCTGAAATATTCATTTTTAGAGCGTTAGTGAATTAAAAAAAAGCAGTATAAAAACCGGAATGTCCAACTGATAAGGCTGAAAATTTTTTCGCTTGTTATTTACAGTAAGATAAATACATTCACTAACTTTTATTAAAATAAAACCATTTAAACTGGGTGTTCAGATTTATATGTCACTTAGTATACATTTGTGTGTATCACATCTCGCCTTAAAACGAAGCACGTTTATTTGAACGGTTTTTGAAATCATAACATGGTGAATCTGTTACTTCAATTTTTTGATATTCTACAACGCCCTGTAAATGCAACCGGTGCAAAATTACGCGGCCGTAAAGCATGAAATTGTAAATCGGCTAAGCGGTGTCGTTAGAGGCTTCTTTTTCTTTTTATGTAATGTACCGTCTAGTCTGGGAGTCGTAAAACAGGAAGTCGGTCAGTTTGTCATGCACGGCTTCAAACTATTCAATGAACGGATTCATCCAATCGACGTGATAGAACGAGCTACTTTTCATAATCCGTTTTACGAATGTCTTTTTAATCGTTCAGTATACTCGCAATTATGTAATGGCATCATTATAAATAATATTGATCGTAATAATGAAACAACCTGCTTTTGTCCGTCTGATCACAGACAGCCAATCAAGAACAGCTGTTTTGTGCTTTTCGGCAACTCATCAGAAAGGTCCGAGCTTAGTCTCAAGTGACAGCTAGCCTATATCAAGTTATGGGATCTATCGAAATAAGAAGGCATAAATCGTCATCTAAGACCAAGCCTAGACCGTGCTAATGATTGCCAATAAGCCTGAAACAGCTGTAAAAGTTAGACGAATAAAAGCAGTATTATTAACTTTCCAATCGCGAGTAGACGATCATCTACTGTATCACCAAACTCGACGGCATCAAGAGGTCAGTCTATGTACTGGATAAAATTTTGAAAAAGCATTTTGATTATGCCAAACGCAGTTTTAATCAAAATTTGTTAAACCAAACTATCAACGTGTTTCCTATCCAAATATACGGAAACATTTTTAAACATAGTTACCCGTTACTAAGATGACACACACTGATGATACCTGATCATTATTTTTCATAATTCTATAATAAATAATCATCTCGATAAAAGCTTTACGACTTTATGATTATTTTTATAATCGAGATTCCTAGACAGTGAATTATGCAAGCGATTATTTAAATATACACTACAAATATCTCTAAATAAGGAAATAATTTTGTTTGTTTATACAACTTATTTTTTTGAAAGCAACCTTAAACATCATCGTTATTTCAATCGCAACGTGATCAAATATGAATATTGGACGTACAGGGACACCTTGCTTTTTTAACTCTATGCGGCATTGATTAGATCAGATGATTGATGTCTTCTTGGTGTATTGTACACCAGGCCGTCTGAATTTAGTTTCTTAGCGCCTCCAATGTTTGTGAATTTTGCAACCTTTTTCCCACCATGTCCCGTACATGTTCGATGGGGGAAAGGTCTGGAGATCAAGGTGGCCGCTGGAGCAGATTTACTCTAAATGCTTGTAAAAGTCTAAGCTAACACGTGCGACATTATGCATTGTCTTGCTGAAAAAGTGGATCTTGCAATATTTCCAAAAAGGGAAGCAGATGAGGTGGTAAAACTTCGTGGATATAGCGCTGGACAGTCATGCTACCTGCTGCCGTAAGCAAATTTGTAAAGGTATGCTCAAAATCACATCACTCCTAGTCGGTGTTGCATTTTCTATGTGATTTAGTATATTTTCGGTCAGAAAAATACGAATTTTCAAATTGGTTCCTGACTACGTGATTTTGGTCCAAAGCGAAAAATCTAGTGAGTTCGTTGCCTTTTGACGTAAACGCCTCCGTTTCTACTTTAA